GGGGTACCCTAGAAGCCCAACGGCCGAGCGCAGTATATCTAGATGACTAGAGTCACCTGGACGAGGCGACCCGGGCGAGCCAGGCAACCTGGGCAACCTGCCCGCAGGGGGACCCATCCGCAAAAGGGGATCCTTTTTTTTTTTTTTTTTTTTTGACAGTGCGGCATTTTTGTAGCCACTGAGATCTGCCAAAATTCCGGCCTTGCGTTTGAACTTCGAATTTAGTGATGTCGTGATGTCTCACCAAAGGGTGTCTATGGCGTATGGCGTACAACAGGGGTCCAAACGGGCTTAAAGGGGTGTGAGATAATTTCATGTTTTGTTTTTATTATCAGTTCAAATTTGATAACGAATTTCGAGGCAACCCTCTGCCAAAGGGGCATGACATAAGTTATTTTCAGTGTTTTGTTCCAGTTTTTTTTCTCCTGCGCTGGGCAGTCCAGGACCTCGGCGAGGACTTTGCCCAGACACATGGCCTAGCAAGGCCACCCGGGGCAAGGTCCCACTTGCGCAAATTAGGAGATTTGGGCCGTTGATCTTTGCTATCTACGGTCAGTATCTCTTAATTCGTTCGTGCAAGTGGGACCTAGCCCCCGGTCCACTCAAACCCGGAAGGCCTGGCTGGTAGCCCAGGTCTATATTCAAATAGGTATGCCCAAGGCGCGGACTTTGCCCAGACACGTGGCCTACTTACGGATCACTTTACGGATCACTTTACGGATCACTTTGCCCCAACAGCGCGTTAGGCAGGCCAGGGGTTCATTCCATTCAGCTTTGGCTTGGCTCAAGTGCTGCCCTGGGGGTTGATATGATTCTTTCAAATCCTGTGCCAGACCGGGCAACACACAACATCCAGACTACGGAAGCAGTTCTATTCGGGTGAAGACGGTAGCCCTGACTCAGGCTTCCCCAGAGGCAGCAGTTCAAACCCCCGAACACCATGAGAAGCTACTGGATGAGGTCACCTTTGCTTTTGTTTTTGGTTGGAAGGCAAAAAGAGCCACCCTAATGTTGTTGTACCATCAGGATTTAAAGCCATCGCCTGCCTGCTTAGCAACAGATACGTGAATGCACCAGTCAGCCGAGGGGTAGCAAAAAGGCTGCAGTGGACGAGCTAAACTTGAGCAAAAAAATCTACACCCTCCATCTTTCTCTCCCCCCCCCCCCCCCCCCCCTCTTTCTTCCCCCCCCTCTTCCCCATGATGTCTTCTCTGTCCACCAGGAGAGCTTGCACTCTCGACTACGGTAGTACTCCAGTTCCTAAAACGAAGTGAATGCCGAGGGGTAGCTTTAGCGGTCCACATTAAATTGAAGAAAAAGAGGTTTGGGCAAAAGACAAACAGATTCATATATATATTTGAGAGAGGGAGGAGGAGAGAGATCGAAAAGACATGCTCACCGAGAAGTACAGATCGATGATGTAGTTTGAATTGTCAGTCACATATGGCTTGTCACCATCCATCCTCAGACGAGCCTGCAGAAAACAAAGACGTACACCCAACATATTCAGCCACCACATCATTCCCCTACCCTTCTCTCTCTCTCTCTCTCTCTCTCTCTCTCTCTCTCTCTCTCTCTCTCTCTCTCTCTCTCTC